CTGCGCGGCGCGGCACGCCTCCTCGACGGCCGCCACCGGGGGGTCGGCCTCGCAGCCGAGGGTGAGGTTGTCCTGGGGAAAGCAAGAGGTACCGATAGACGCCGGGCGCAAGAAGTAGGTAGAAACATGAAGTAGGAAGGCGTTGGAAGTAGATTGGGTCTCCGCCCGCCCCCTGAAGAGGAGGGAAGAGGGGAAGTCACTCGATCATTGAAGTAACAAGGCGCTTAAAGTAGATTGGAACCTGGGATTCCAAAAATTCGCCGGCCCAACGGGCCAGAGGCGTGCTAAGATCTCCGGTAACTGGTTAACAATTCTCTAGTTCGCGCGCGCGGGGCGGCCCCTGGGGGTCCCCGGACGAAAAGCACCCGGGCGATCCCCGACCGATCCCCGGGAGACTCCCCCAGAGCGCTCCAGGAGCGCTCCATGAGCGCACCAACAGGGCTCCGAGACGTCCCCGAGAGCCCCAAGAAAGGCCAAGAGGCCCCCAAGAGGCCCCCAAGATGGTACACGAGGGGTCCGACATGCCACAAGATCGCTCCAAGACGCCCAAGATAGCCCCCAGACGCCCCAAGAGGCCTCCAAGAGCACTCCCAAGAGGGCCCCCGGAGGCAAAATTCATTGTTTTTCCTTAGGTTTTTGAGAGATTTTGGAGCTTCCACCTTTTCGGCTTCCCGACGCCCCAAGACGGCCCAAGAGGCCCCCAAGATCGCCCCAAGAGGGCCCAAGAGGCCCCCAAGAGGGCCCCAAGATGGCCCAAGAGGGCTCGAAGACGGCCCAAGAAGCCTCCAAGACGGTCCAAGAGGGCCCCAAGAACGCCCCCAAAGGGGCCCCAGAGAGGGAACACGAAACAACATTTCGAGCCCTCGGCCCTAAGAAGCCCCTACTAGGCCCCTACGAGGCCCCTAAGAGGCCCCAAGAGGCCCCCACGAGGCCCTCAGGAGGCCCCCAAGAGTCCCCCAAGCGGCCCCAGGAGGCCCCCCAAATGCCCCCCGAGCGCCCCAGGAGTCCCCCAAGCGGCCCCAGGAACCCCCAAAGCGCCGCATTGACACCAGGCCCTCGGGCAAACGGCAGACATGAGACTGTATGGGCCGGCGGAATGAGCAAAGCGATTAAATAATATTTTCAACGACCGATGGGTACCGCTACTCTCCGGACCTCTCCCGGGGTGCGTTCTGACCAGAATTTCGAGGCGAATACAGCGGTGGCGACGAGGGCATCCCAGGAGGCACAAAAAGGGGAAAACGGGCGAAGGGGTAAGATGTATGGGTACCTTTCCCTCCTCTGCTGTCCCAGAGGGGCAGGCTGAGCAGCTGCGGGCGCTGAGGGACGGCAGCGAACTGCCTGGGGGCGGGCTCCTCCTCCTCCTCCTCCTCCTCCTCCTCCTCCTCCTCCTCCTCCTCCTCCCCCTCCTCCTCCTCCTCTTCCTCATCCTCCTCCTTCTGCCCCTCCTCCTCCTCCTCCTCTTGCTCCTGCTCCTCCTCCTCCTCCTCCTCCTCCTCCTCTTCCTCCTGCTCCGCTCTCTCTCTCTCTCTCTCTCTCTCTTTGGGGGAGAGGGGGGGGAGGAGCGGCAGCGTAGGCGGGAGAGCGGCAGCGGAGGGCGCCGCGCAGGGGAGGGGCGCGCGCCACCACCGGTGCGTCGCCAGATTCCCCGTCGGGAAGCCCAACAGGTGTGTGTGTGTGTGTGCGTGTGTGCGTATATGAGAGAGGGAAAGAGGGCACGCATGGGGGAACATCGTTTGGACGCTGCGCTTCAGTACCATGTAGGGTAAGAAGCTCCTCGCATGGAACGGTATAAGTATAGGACATCCGTTGGCGCAGCATCCTCCAGAACTCAAATAACACTCGGTTCGCTGCAGCGGAGGACATGAGCTTGTCCGGAAATATACTCAGCGAACTTAATGGCATGCGTGGCAGCGCGACCGTCGGCGCCACGCCATGTGTACTGCCAGACTATGTTGTTTTCGGATATGGCTCGTGGCCGTTACGTTAGAGTTGGCCTGAACTCTGACGCACGAAACATCGACGTTCCATGTGGCAAATTTGTCCAGGGTGGAAAATGAAAATTAACCTCGGAATCGTGATGATGGCGCAAGCTGCGCAGCGCGTGAACCACTGTCGGCTCGAAGCCCGAATGACACTGCTGCTCCTCGCATTTCCGATGTGCCGCATCACGACATGCGAAAACGGTTTGAAACGCAATGCAACGCTAGAACTGGCGGTTAATATCTTCCACTTGACCAGAACATACCGGAACGCGCACATGAGAAGAACGTGCCACAAGCGAAGCAGATGCATGCACAATGGTGTGCAATATTGCCCGCGCTGACAGCATCGCTGGGCGCCCCACGTGTCGGACAAGCAATCCTTTCGAGCAGCTATGTGTTCGGTGCCGAGGCTGGCGCCTGGCCCCTTGCAGCGACGAAGCCGCCTTACCCATCGCATCCGCCAGCCACGCTGGATATCCAAAAGCACCAACCTCGACGGAGGACGTCAAACCTAAACGCCGCCATGCAAGATTGCGCGGCGGCCATGAGGCTGGCGATGGCCTTACCGAATTCAATACTCTGCTCCTTCGCGGCTACGTCTCTACTGGCGCAGCGGCTAGCGGCAGAGAGATGACTTGAACACTGCCTGCTCAAGTGTCTGGTTGCGGTGGCCGTCTGGGAAAAGAACAAGGCGTATGAAAACAAAGGGCCTTGAAGGCTCAACTGGAACGTCACGTGAGTCAACCTCACCCGTGTCGTCAAAGCCATCGGGGACGAAGGGTAACCTCACCTTCGAGCCAATTTGAGTCCTCGAGACCTCCGCCAACTTGAAGCTGAAAAGACACAAACCTGAATTGGTGATTCGCCAATCCAGTTGCAGATGCTGATATCGGAGAGCTCGCTCAAGGATCCTAATCGGACGGTGCATCAACGAGACCAGAACAAGATCATGCTGGAGAGCCAGTGGCCGACCGAACGAAATATGAAACGAAGAAAAAAGGAATAGTCACACCCACAGACCCCTCCGTTTGCCCAGGCGGCTGCGGCGTCGTCTTCTGTTGTATCCGTGGTGCGTACTTTTCTGTTGTATGATGTTCTGTTGTGGTTTGCTGTTTGAGCGTTCCCCTGTGCGCCTCATTATTTGTCGCTCTCCTTCCTTCGATATCCCCTGCCTGGGGCCCATGGGAGGAAGCCAGGAAACCAAGAAACCAAGACAACCTGGCCAGGCGTTTTTTTTTTGGGGGGGGGTCTGGGCGCTCAGAAAAGATGACCAGGCGCGGGTTTTTACACTTTGTTCTGGTCTGGGAGCCCACAAAACCTGGCCCAGCATTGGTTGCTCTTTTTTCTGGTCTGGGAGCCAACGAAACCGAGCCTGGAGGTTGAGGGCTTGCGAACGACTGCCGTCTGACCAGAAGAACCAAAACAACAACGCCTGGCCAGGTTCTGTGAGCCCCCAGAACAGCCAAACGAAAAACGCCTGGCCAGGTTTTGTGGGCTCCCAAACCAGAAAAACCAGACAACGCCTGGCCAGGTTGTCTAGGCGCCCAGGCCAGAAAAAAAACCTGAAAAGCCAACGCCTGGCCAGGTTTTCTGAATTCCTTGACAAGAAAACCAAACAATTAACAACAACGCCTGGCCAGGTTTTCTGAGCTCGCAGACCAGAAAAAATGAACCCGACGCCTGGCCAGGTGATCGGGAGCTCGCAGGCGCAATGTTTCCTGTGTGTCGGAAGCGCAATGTTTCCTGTCGGAAGCGCAATGTTTCCTCCACGTCAGAGGCGCAAGGCTTCACGTTTGGTGGAACGCAGTGTTCTGGATTCATCGAAGCGGAATGCTTCGTCGTCGTCGGAAGCGCAATGTTTCCTCCTTGTCGGAAGCGCAACGTTCCCTCCTCTGTCGGAAGCGCAATGTTTCCTCCCTGTCGGAACGCAATGCTCTGGAGCCCTCGAAGCGCAAGGCTGCGTGCTTGTCGGGAGCGCAATGTTTCCTCCTCGTCAGAAGCGCAAGGCTTCATGTTTGGTGGAAGCGCAATGTTTCCTCCTCGTCGGAAGCGCAACGTTTCCTCCTCTGTCGGAAGCGCAATGTTTCCTCCTCGTCGGAACGCAATGCTCTGGACCCCTCGAAGCGCAAGGGTTCGTGCTTGTCGGAAGCGCAATGTTTCCTCCTCGTCGGAAGCGCAATGCTTCCTCCCTGTCGGAAGCGCAATGTTTCCTTCTCGTCGGAAGCGCAATGTTTCCTCTCTGTCGGAAGCGCAATGTTTCCTCCTCGTCAGAAAGCAATGCTTCCTGTCTGGTGGACCGCAGTGTTTGGGATTCATCGAAGCGCAATGCTTCGTCCTCGTCGGAACCGTGACGTTTCCGTAGCTTTCTGCGCGGGTCGAGCACTTCCCTCTTCGCTCCCGCACCCTCCACCTACACTCGCGCACTCGCCATGCTCGCCCTGATGGGTTACGCGGCCAAGACCCAGCACCCCGCGTAGGCGAGCACAGGCTGCGCCAACGCGGACATGACCGCCGCTTCCGACCACTACGCTGTCGTCCTCGGCGGCGTCAGCTGCGCCCCGCCGCCAATGACCCCCGAGGGTCTGGCGCGGAACATGCGCGACCCTCTCCGCTACTTCTTGGCTCGCCGGTTCGCGCGCAGCATTGACCGGGGCGACTTTGACGCCGAGGTGGCCAACTTCTTAAACCCGAGCCCTGTGCCCGCGACGCCCACCGCGGGCTTGTGGCTCGAGAACCTGATCGTTATGGCGGGGACGTTTACCGAGTCGCTGGGAAGCACGTGCATGGCGGTCGCCACCGACATCGGGCAAAAGCTCACCGTGTACCACTTGGGCGACTGTGTCGCCATGATCTTCCGCTACTCCTCGATGCTGGGAGCGCGGCGCCATTGCCTCTCGCACGGTGGGCCACAGAGCGCAGATGCTTGACGCCCACGGTAACAGCGTGATCGGGCCGCTTCAGTTCACCGTGCACAACGACCCGCGTCGCACAGTCGACGCGCTGAAGCAGGCGGTCCGCCAGGGCGCCGTGCAGCTGGTCAGAGACGTCCGCCCAGGCGACGCGCAGATGCTCTTCAGCGACGGCGTCTCCGACAACGCCACGGAGGAAGAGCTATGCCGCATCCTGCGCAACTCCTCGCACATGGACCACGCCTCGATCGCCCGCGACGCCCTGGCGCGCTGCTGCCGCAACGGGGCGCCGAGCCCCGACGACATCAGCATCTACGTCGTGGCCGTCTTCTCGCAGTGGGTGCGTCCCGTCCGCCGTTTTTTTTCTCTCTCTCTCTCTCTCTCTCTTTCTGTCTCTCTCTCTCTCTCTCTCTTCCTCTCTCGTTCGCTCTTCCTCTCCTCCTCCCCCCTCCCCTCGCCAGCCTCGACAATCTTGCGGCCTTCGCGCCGTTCCATCGGTGCGATTCCAGTAGCAGCGGCCGCGACTGCAGCACGCGCCTGCGCACCGCCTACGCGATGGGACGCAAGGCGCCCAAAGCTTGTGCGCAGGAAGAGCGAAACCGCCCGAGCCACTGTGTACAAACTGCAAGACTTCTATGACGCCCACAAGGTGGCCCTGGCGCACGCGGAAGTGGATAACGCCCTCGAGACAGTCTTCAAGGACGACGTGGTCGCGCTAGACAGCTCCCGCATGGCTTCCAAGAAGTTGTGTGGCGGTGCTAGAAAAGCAACGAGAGGCGCGCGCTCGTGCACAAGGGAAGGTTCTCCAAGGAGTGGGCGGCCAAGGCTCTGAAAGCGAGGCGCTCCTCGGCGAAACGGGGCTCTGGCGGCCCTGAGTCCCTCGAGGAGGTTCGCGGCCCTCTGGTTGGCGCCGTGGGCCCTGGCACCGCGTTGGCCCCAGGCGGCGCGCGCGCCTTCCACTCCGCGGCCGAGGAAATCGGCGCGGCTTCCCTGTCTGGGGTGAACCACCAAAACAAGGTGTTCACGCCCGTCACGAGGCTGCTGAAGAGCAAGTTGACGCGGAAGACGGCTGCCGTGTTGCGCCGCCATTGCCGCGGCAAAACCCCAGCTGCCCAGGAAACGAATCTGCACTTCAAGCTTGTGTCGGGGGACAATCGCGCCGAATCGCTGCAGGTGCACATCAAGAACACATTGTGCTGAGTCGGCAACGTGGGCCGCCACGCAACCACCGAGGTCAAGAAGGCCGTGCAGACAAAGTCCGGCGCTGCCTTGCTGAGGCGGGCGGGTCTAACGAGCGTGCTTGATGCGCTGCGTCGGTACAAGGTTGCGTGCAATAGCGGCGCAGTGCAGATGGCGCTGAAGGATTGCGTCCGCGCGGGATTGTGCAAATGGGCTCAGGCCTAAAGAAACCTCTCGTCTGTCAGCTAGCTGCATTCGCATGTTGCCGTAGATGCAGTTGCCGCCTCGGCATCAGATCGCGCGCGAGTGGGGCGCGTGCGACAGAACAACAATGCGCCCTCCTTTCACCCACCCCCAACTCTATTGTCTCTGCGCGCGTGTATTATATTTATGACTCGTGTGATTTGACGGCGTCGCGCACGCCGCGCGTCTGGGGGTTGAGAAGAGGAGAACAGGGCGGAAGAGGAGGGGGATAATCAGGAAAAGAGGAGGGATGAAGAGGAGGACCAGGGAGAGGATGAGGAAAAGAAGGGGGGGCGAAGAGGAGGACGATGCCCCCTCAGTCTGGGCAAACGGAGGGGTCTGGTCGTCATAATGATAATGGTAAGAAAAACAAATTCACTGACAACTTGGCCCGAACCGCCTGTCCTTGGGCGCGCAGAGCGATGTTGCAGAGCTTGCCGAGTTTTTTCCTAATAGCAAAGTGAGAGCGCCACATGTGGCAGCGCAGCGCGTGCAGCTGACTGGAAGGGATCATCAAGCCTGGACAGAGACTGAGGAAGGGAGCGATGGGGAAGGAGGAGGCGCCAGGTTGGGGGCAGAGGAAGATGGCAGCCAAGAAGAAAGCCAGCGCAGGATAAAGAGGCATGAGGACATGTGATGCCCTTGTGAGGTTCTCAGACATGTTACATTCTCCCATACCCCCCTGCTCAAGCTCATCTTTCTTCTCCTCATCCTCCTCCTCCTCCTCCTCCTCCTCCTCCTCCTCCTCCTCCTCCTCCTCCTCCTCCTCCTCCTCCTCCTCCTCCTCCTCCTCCTAAGGAGGGGCCACCAGAATAGAGGGGCACCCTGCCCCTGCCGGGCCCTCGATGGTTTTCTCCCGCTGCGCTTCGCCCTCCCTTTGGCCTCGAACCCCCTTCCGCTCCAAGACATCCGGCTGCTCCAATTTTTTCGATGCGTGGGCCCCGGAGGTCCAGACAACTTCCCTAGGGCCGGTTTTTCGTCCCGAACCGTTTTTTGACGCTCCCGAGGCCCGGCGAAGGCCCCCGGAGGCCGAAAACTGCCAAAATCAAGTTTTTGGGGGAGCGTCGGATCTCTGGGCTCGAGACCCCTCCTCCGCCTCTCCTCGGGCCCCTTTCGCGCTGCGTTTCCGGCTGCTCCCCCGACGTGGGGGGGTCTGCGGTGGCATTCCCTAAAAGGGCCAGCGACCATGGGCATGAGCTGGTTTCGCCGGCGCTGGTTTCGCCGGCGGTGGTTTCGCCCCGCTGGTTTCGCCGACGGCTGGTTTCACCGACAGCTGGTTTCGCCAACGCTGGTTTCGTCCCGCTGGTTTCGCCCCGCTGGTTTCGCCGGCGGCTGATTTCGCCGGCGCTGGTTTCGCCGACGGGAGCCCTGACGGGCGGGTCGGGTCGGGCGGGCGGACCCTAGCGGGCGGGTCGGGTCGCGCGGGTGGACCCTAGCGGACGGGACGGGTCGGATCGGGCGGGCGGACCCTAACAGGCGGGTCGGGTCGGGCGGGCGGGACATTAAAGTGTGCGAAGCGCTCGACCGAGCACGCGCGAGCCCCAACGGGCGGGTCGGATCGGGCGGGCGGATCCTAGCGGGCGGGTCGGGTCGCTCCGGGCGGGCGGACACTGACGGGCGGGTCGGGTCGGGCGGGCGCGACATTAAAGTGTGGGGCGCGCTCGACCGAACATGCGCGAACCCTAACGGGCGGGTCGGGTCGGGCGGGCGGAACCTAAAGGGCGGGTCGGGTCGAGCGGGCGGACCTTAACGGGCGGGTCGGGTCGGGCGGGCGGGACATTCAAGTGTGGGGCGCGCTCGACCGAGCACGCGCGAGCCCCAACGGGCGGGTCGGATCGGGCGGGCGGATCCTAGCGGGCGGGTCGGGTCGCTCCGGGCGGGCGGACACTGACGGGCGGGTCGGGTCGGGCGGGCAGGAAATTAAAATGTGGGGCACGCTCGACCGAGCACGCGGGAACCCTAACGTGCGGGTCGGCTCGGGCGGGCGGATCCTAGCGGGCGGTCGGGTCGGGCAGTTTCGCCGACGGCAGCTGGTTTCGCCGACGGCAGCTGGTTTCGCCGGCGGCAGCTGCTTTCGCCGACGGAGCTGGTTTCGCCGACGGAGTTGGTTTCGCCGGGCGGCGAAACCAGCCGGGCGAAACCAGCCGTCGGCGAAACGGGCGGTCGCCGCGACCAGCACGCCGCGGCAACTGGGGACTGGAAAGGAGGTGCGGCGTGTGGGAGATGAGGGGCTCCTTTCCTCCGTGCTGCTCCTGTTCTTCCTCTGGATGTCATGACAATGGGCACTCTAACAATCCTGGCGTTTAATTTGAAGTGTGCTTAAGATGTTTGAAGAAACATGTTAGAAAACATGTTTGCACATGTTTAAGACATGTTGTAAACATGTGTTAGACAGATGGGAGTTATTTGGCAACACGCTTCCTCTCCATTGATGGTCGTCCACAATGCACTCCTCTCTTCGAGGCTTGTTTCGGGCAGGATAGACAATGCGCGCTCCACGACTCGCAGGAAGGAGCTGCTTGCAGATGGCCTGGATCCGCCGCGGAGGATTCACGATCCCTTCCATCGAGACATAGAGGCCTCCGAGATGGGGTCCGAATAGATGGGGTCGGAGGATCGCACCGCAATCACCGATACATCGGCGATGCATCGGCGTTGCATCGGCGATGCACTGGCGACGTCAGCGACGCATCGGCGACGTCGGCGTGGAGAAAGTTGAGCCACACACCGAGACGCCTCGCCGATGCATCGGCGAGATGCGGCGCGATCCTCCGTCCCCATCCCACTCCGACCCCACCCAGGAGGCCTGGGGACAGGCACGTGTGTTCGGACGTCTGCGAGTGGGCACTCTGCGAGCAGCGGAGCGCGCTCGGCGAGCAGAGCTCTACCAGAGATCGGAGCCCACGGCGGCAGCCACGGGCTGCGCGCCGATGGGGCTCGCCGCCGGTGCCTGAGCCTGCCCGCTCTAGCGCAGGCCTGCGTGCTCGGCGAGGAGTCAGGGCATGCTGGGAGCAGAACCGGGCGCCCTGCTCCGTCGTAAGATCTGAGGCGCCCAACGGGTCTTATCTTGCCTTATCTCCTCCTCCTCCTCCTCCTCCTCCTCCTCCTCCTCCCCTTTGCTACACTCTATCCGGGCTCCGCACAACAGTGCAGACGGAGGTCCAAGGGTCACTGGGCCCAAAACTGGCATCCGCATCTGCCAGCCAGGCGCCTGTGAATCGCCCGCCCACTCCACTGCCTCGACGATCCTCCCCTCCCCTCCTCCACTCACTCCATGCCTCCCGCACCCTGCTTGCCCCGCCCATGCGACCTCCGGAGCCACTGAGGATCGTAGGAACGAATGTCCAGCCCATCCAACAGTATTCCGCCAGCCCCTCGTCTACGAGGCCCAGGCGCCGCCAGACAAGCACGCACCGTTGGTGTGGAAAGCCTCCCGACTCTGCTCACTCCCTGCTGCGCTCATGTCGTCTTCCCATGGCCCCTCCCCTCTCTTCCCTGGCTTTCGCCCATTCCACTTCCCTCCTGGTCAGGGAACGGTTTCCTGGCACACCCGCGGAGAGACATACGTTAAGATCCTGGGTTGTATCTACTTCCCCTGCGAAGGATAAGGGACGCCGGGAGGGGAGGGAGGACGAGGTGCCCGCTGGGCGGAAGAGAAGCGAGCGCGCGTACCCGCATACGCATATACCTGCAGCATAGGAGACTGCATAATTGCTTCGCGCCGGGGCCCCTAAAGTTCCGCCGCAAGCGGAATGGTAAGAGAGAGGGAGAGAGAGGGAGCGAGACCAACACATAAATGATGCGAGTGGCTGTTCCCGTTGTCACTCTCGTCGTTGTCTTCCTGTTCCTGTGTATCCCTTCCTTCCCCTTCCTTCTCATCCTTCTTGTGTTTCTTCGTCTTCTTGGCCTCTTCTCTGCGATGCCTACCGCCGCCATCGTCGTCGTCGTCGTCGTCGTCTTCGTCCTCGTCTTCGTCGTCGTCCTCGTCGTCGTTGTCTTCGTCGTAGTCGCCGTCCTCGTCGTTTCTGTAGCTCTCTCTCTCTCTCTCCTATCCCTCTCTTTATCTCTCTCTCCCTCTCTCTCTCTCTCTCTCTCTCTCTCCCTCTCTCTACTTGTGCTAATACCCATGAATGCACGCAGACGATTGCTCTGGTCGGAATTCCGGTCCGTGGCTGGGGCCCCCAGAAAGCCCCACGACAGCCGCCAATGGGCCCCAGCAGGCCTCGAAGGCCCCCCACGACGGCCCAGATGGCCCCAAGAGATGACTCGAGATGTGCCCGCCCACGGTGGACCACAGAAGGGCACAGAGAAGCCCCAGAGACCCCAGGAGAGCTCCGAGAAGCGTCCCAAAAAGGGCCCCCGGAGGCAGACCTCACGAATCCCTGGCTGGGTTTTTTTGTGAAAGCTTTTTTGGCGCTTTTTGGCTTCTGCGGCCGGCTGGCCGGCGCTCCTCGACGGCCCAGAGGCCTCCAAGACCGACCCAAGCAGGCACGAGAGGCCCCCAGGACGGCCCCAGGACGGCCCAAGATGGCGGCAAGACGGCCTCATAGGCGCCCAAGACAACCGATGAGGGCCCGATGAGGGCCCAATGGTGGCCTCAAAGGGCCCCTTGCCCGAGCACTTTCTGCGCGCCCCTTTTCGCCGCGCGCGAATCTTCGCCCCCACGCCAGGGCCAACCAAGGATTCGACGGCGCAGCGTAGCAAGCCGTAGAAAACTTGTATGTATGTGTATACATGTGTACATGGAAAAGACATTGAAGGAGAGAGCGCGAGAGAGAAAATAAGCAACAACGGAATCCATAAAGGAATAAGGACATACAATGCATAGAGAGAGAGTGATATTGATAACACTTATACACGTATACATGTGTATATATATAGAGAGAGATATAGATATACCTCAGAATGAGGGGGCCGAACTGTCATTCACCGTCCCTGGGCGCGTGGTTGAAGTGAGGTTCTGCGGTGCGGATTGTTGTTCTTGTTGCTGCTGCTGTTGTTGTTGGTGGTGGTTGTTGGTTGTTGGTTGTTGATTGTTGGTTGTTGATTGTTGTTAATTGTTTGTTCTTTGTTGTTTGTTGTCGTCCTCCCCGCGATCCGGCCCGCGACCCACCCGCGGCCACCCGCGACCCACCTACATTGTTTCAACGAAACGATCGGCGCTTGCTGCGGGCTCGTTGCATAATTTGTAGAAGTTTGGCGCCTGCGGCGGGCTTCTTCAGAGCCTCGCAGAATGCCGACGTCCCCGCCGCCCCCTCCCTCTTTGATCCGCAACTGCGGAGTGCGACGTATATGAGCAGAAAAAGGGGGAGAGAGCGAACGAGAGCGAGAGAGAGAGAGAGAGAACAGGGAGGAGGATCATGGTGGAGGAAGCGTTGGGTCGGGCATGTCCTCCTCCAGGGGGATCTTGGAGGAACAATTAGAAATAGCCAACATATGCTCAAACATATACCAAACATAACCAAAGCATCGTCTCCAAACTATGTTTGGATCATTTTGGAATATTCCTCCTGTAGAGGGACAGGCCCGACTTAGAGGGGGCGGGAAGGAGCGCGCAAGGGAACCAGACGTTCCTGTGACTTTCTCGCGTGCCGCGGGGCCGCAGCAAAACCCCATGCCTTGGCGTAGAAGGAGAAGGAAGAGAGAGAGAGGAGGGAGAGGAGGAGGAGGAGGAGGAGGAGGAGGAGGAGGAGGAGGAGGAGGAGGAGGAGAGGCGGAGGAGGAAGAGGAGGAGGCGGAGGAGGAGGAGGAGGAGGAGGAGGAGAGGAGGAAGGAGGAGGAGAGGGAGAAGGAGGGAGGAGGAGGGAGGAGGAGGGGAAGGAGGAGGAGGGGGTGGAGGAGGGGGAGGGGGAGGAGGAGGAGGAGGAGGAGGAGGAGGAGGAGGAGGAGGAGGAGGAGGAGGACGAGGACGAGGAGGAGGAGGAGGAGGACGACGAGGGGGAGGAGGAGGAATAGGAGGAGGAGGGAGAGGAGGAGGAGGAGGAGGAGGAGGAGGAGGAGGAGGAGGAGGAGGAGGAGGAGGAGAATGAGGAGGATTTGTTCCGTTTCAACCGTTTAATTGTTTGTGTTCCCCAGCAGAGGCCACAGCGAAACCGCTGCTGGACCCAGGTAGAAGGCAACACTGGTGGCTGACAACATCTGACGCTCAGTGGGGGAGGCGCTAGAGAGGACCGCCTCCCCACGTGGGCTAAGGCAGGGGCATTGCAAAGCCGAGGCCTGCCTGCAGCAGGCAGGCTGTGCACGCTAGGAAACCTTGTCACACCGAGCAGCGGCACAAAACATGGCGATCTCGCCTCGGCGAACGCCGCTTTGGGGGGGGGCGTCGCGAGCTCCTTTCGGAGCGCCCGCTATGCCCCCCCCCTCCCGCACGGATCGACCCTCGGCTCAGCCGCCTCAGAGGGCATCCGTGGACTGTACAACACAAACACCTCTGGTGCTCACCACGGCCACCCTACTCAGGCCCACACCGTCCAAAAGACAGCACAGCCCAGAGCAGGTCCGATGGGAGCAGGATGAGAATTCGGGAGGACGGGAAAAAACCATCCCCGTACTCAACGCGCACAGGATATGCGGCCCCCTGAGCAGCGGTCACCGCAAGACGGGAATACCACCAGCGCCCTGCGGCCGTGCGACAGGAGGGAATGGACGGGACACGGCGGTGAAAAGGACGGTCAGCGACGCCTGCCTGGCGGAACCCCTCGGCCCGAGTTCCAGGGCTGGCTGCGCGTCACCAGCACCGCCAAACAGGACGACAACAAAAAAAACAGATCGAGCCCGCTGCGAGACCAAGCCGCGACACAACGAGACAGGGCGGCCTTCCTGAGCAACTGTCACTGCAGAGGGAGAATTACCTCCAGCGCCCCACAGCCGTGCAAGCAGAGAAATGTGAAACAGCACGCGGCAGTGAAAAGGACGACCGGCAGCGGCTGCCCGGCGGAACCCCGCGGCCCGAATTCCAGGGCTGGCTGCGTAACCAGCACCGCCAAACAGAACGAAACAAACCCCAAATCGAACCCGCCACGCGTGCCCACAACCGACACATGACAAATCAAGCGGCCCCCCAGTGCAACTGTCACCGCAGGGGGAGAATTACCTTCAGCGCCCCACGGCCGTACAGACCGGGGGAGGTGGACACACACACGTGGCGGTGAAAAGAGCGGCCACTGGGACTCGAACCCGCCGCGCAAGTCCAGGGACCGCAGTAGAAAACAGACTGCGCCCGATGGGGTGTGAGAGTAATGAATGCACAGAGAACAAAGAAGCGCGCAATCAGTCCGAGTCTGTCGAGTGCCCCCCCCGCTCCAGCCTCCCACCACCATCGTCGGACAGATCCGAAGAAAGAGAATGCGAGGACTGGCCGTCCAGGCCCTGCCAGAAAGACCCGCGGTCATCCAGCTGTTGGTTTTCCTCGCATCGAACTCCTGCCGCACTAGCAACAGCTTGGATGAGCGAAGCACCTTTATCCGCAATGCGCTGTTCCTCCGCCGCAGAAGGAAGCGCAGAGCAGGATGCCCTGGGCGGGGGCTCTGGGGCCTCCTGACTGGGCAAATGTGAAGGTGAATCGAGGGTGATGCGAGGCAACGTGGGGTGCTTATCCCGACAAATGCTGGACCACACCCTCCGACCGAACCTAGCGGGGGGGGATCACATTTTGCCTTTTAAAGAAACTATCCGACCGTGAGAGCTGCACGCAACAGGATACAATTGTAGCCAAATTCGACAGATGCTTGGAACTCGATGGAAGCCGAGCCAACACACCTGCCAGGGGGTGGTCTCCTGGGCCAACGCTTCTCACTGATGCGCCAACAGGTGCCACAACGCCCAAAGGTGTGAAAACACGCCCAAACATGCGGCGCTATGCACACATCATCCTTAGGTTGCTTGGGAGGAGGGGAGTATTCAACCTGACCGAACTCACGCAGGGGCTGCCAAAGCGGCAGCAGCTTCATGCTCAGCAGGCAAAAAGCCCTCGCATATTAATTTCGAGATCAATATGAGCAGAGACTTCGGGGTCGGGCAAGGGGTGGTGGGAGCGGGCAAACTTGGCTGCTCGATCCGCAGCATCGCTTCCCTCCCGCAGGAAACGAAACTCATCAGACAAATCGGGATCAGCGGCACTCATGGTGGGCACGGACATGTTGTACGCTCTGGACGAAACGGAAGGACGGATAAGAACGAGCCTGCAACAAATGTCCAGCATGCGAGCGCTTGTGAGAAACCTCCTGGGTATCCAGGGGGAGGGCATGGGAATCTAAAACACTCTTACAATCGCTATGTATATCGCTGTTGCCTGTCATCAGCCGTATAGCGGCAAGATATGCGCAACATTCGCTGGCTTGCGGAGTTTCAGGGAGGTGAGACCGCACTGGGCCAA